ACTGTTGCAGTATCATCGATATAGATTGATTTTAGGTGGAAATTGAAAATTGAAAGGTATTGAGTAATTTGGAAGTACAATCTGCCACAAAAAGTTAACAGCTGAAAAGGTAAAATTATCTAGTTTAAATGCCGAGAGTAAGAATAGCTATTTCGCTTAAAGTATTATCACTCCTATCACTGACTTAGAGACGGTTCGACGTGATGGATATGTGAAAATGATAGACATCGAAAATGGCAAAATATATTTATTGATGTTTACATTTTTTGTAGTTTAAGACAAGATTGAATTTTAGAGAAGTTCAATGCTATTTCGGAATCTTTGTTAACAAGATAAATATGCTGCGTTTAGTCGATGGTTGATGGAATGATAACTTGGGAAAGATATGGTATCCTTTACAATCATAAATTGCCATCTAAAGTTAATAGCTAAAAAGCTGCCCAGTGCATTATGGGAAGTGCTAACAACTCGCAAATAAGATAAAATGTGCAGCTCCATTAGAACTGCTCATTTGGGAAAACTGGATGATATCGCCCCTCGTTTTGAATATAATGAATTTCTCCTATTGGCCATACTTCCACGACACTGGACAATCGCCCATGAGCATCGACTTCTTGTTAGCTGACCAATAAATCCGGCTTTGCAAGCCGTTGTCTTACCTGAATACTTTGATTTCGTTCTTGTTGTACATCTAACCTACTCGGATGGACCGAAGCTTTCTGATATGACGATTTTCCTTATGCTATTGTTTCAGAAGACATTTCCTTGGCTTCTGTTATGTATACAGACCCGTGTGTCCAATGGTCCCAATATATGTGTCTAAGTCGCTTAGCTTCTTTGTATACAGATGTACCTATTCATTTCACCATGACCTTATTGAAGAACATGCTCGCTTTTTTAATCTTAGCGCGATATCTACTTTAATAGCGAATGGTAAACGATCGCGCTTTCGTCAATCGGATTCATTTCCATCGAGAACCGATCGTTAATACACTCCACTTAGTTAAATGGAATTCATTGCATTTCAGTCCCATCGCTAGTCATTGCTCCGAGTAAACTTTTCCTCCACCAAGTCTCTCATTTCTCAAGTATACGAATCGAAATTATTATTTAACCGTCTTTTAATTACTGCAAACGTCTGACTATCTTACACAAGCGAAACTCAATGCAGCTGATAATGTCTCATATTGCGAGAAAGTGGAAATGGTGTCTTTGTTTGAGAACCAGGCAGTCATTCGTCATTAGAGATACAGGGACAGGGGGGGGGTGGAGGGAGGAACCACTTGAGTTGAATATGTGCAGACTAGCGCAGATCGACGGGAACCAAAATCAACATATCATACTCTCAACTCTCCGAAATGGCAATACATTTGTTCCAGAAGAGATAAGTCACGCTGTTTCGTCTTCATTTGAAAACTTATATTTATATCAATATTTATTTATTTATATTAAATGACAGGCTTTATGAAAATTATCATTAGCACTTTAGCTGACTTCGGGCTTAACAGAGGGGAGGAACATCAAAGCCACATAAATTCGAGAGGGATCATGGTAGTTTGAAGTCAGAAGTCAATTGCCAGTTAATAGACTTGTTGCTGTATGAGTATACGTTGTCCAGGGTGCACCACGTAGAGGTAAGTCTATCGCGCACCCCTAGCAATATTAAATATAATGTAAAGTAAGTAACGCCCAAAGTTATTGGAGATCGCGTTGTCTTTAAGCCTGATGTCTTGACGCTCTTCTGAACTAAATGAAAAGTACGAGGATAACAAAGAAAGAAGTAATAGAGAAAAAAATGTACTCATGCAGACCACCGCATCATCGACAGGGTGTTCTAAGGATTTCGAAAGGGGTTAAATTTGGGACAGTATCTCAAATTCCAAAAAATGCTCAATGATAAAGCGGATGATGAGAGAAGTATTAGATGATTACGAGGTAAAACATGAATGATAATGTTAATTCGTACATCGTAGAAGTTGAGCACGTGGATCTTTCCAAGTAGACATAAGATGAAATGAGACCAATGGTTTAATAGAGAAATGAATGACCGTAAGTTGAGATGAGAAAATGTTTCCAGACAACCAACAGAGTTATCAGCATCCTGGATAAAATAAGAAACATTTAATCTTGTTGAAATTTTTGGAAAATAATTAATATGAATTAAATCTAGGCAAAATCAGTTCTTGCGGTTGTGGAGTGGAGAT